TTTTAAGAGCGAAAAACCCAAGAATGATGTCAAGACTGAAAAGGGGACAGCACTACAGACCCTACAGATACTGAGGACACAGTAAGAGGGGTTATTTCTGGTTAGGATATAGACAGTCACAGCAGACTGTAACTTTGGTTAAAAAAAGACAAGACAGATGCACTACAGAAATCACATATAGGTACAGCCACTATTGCAAACAGAATTGGAGGTTCCCCAAATAATTTAAAATAGAAATATACAATGCAGCAATTCCACCTCTGGGTGTACATCCAAAGGAAATGAAATCAGTATCCCAAGCATCTGCACTCCCACGTTCAGTGTGGCATTACTAACAAGACATGGAAATGAAGTGTCATGGGCGGATGAATGAAGAAAATGTGGTATGTAGTGTGTATTATTCAGTATTTATTTATTTAGCTAGCTAGCTAGACAGAGACAGAGACAGAGAGACAGAGAGTACAAGCAGGGGGGGGCAGAGGCAGAGGGAGAAGCAGACTCCCCGCCGAGCAAGGAGCCCGATGTGGGACTCCATCCCAGGACCCTGGGATCATGACCTGAGCCGAAGGCAGCCACGTAACTGACTGAGCCACCCAGGAGTCCCTATTTAGCCTTTTTTTTTGAAGCTCTGCTATTTGCAACAACATGCATGACATTATGCTCACAAAGACAAATGCTGTATGATCTCTTACATGTGGAATCTAAAACTAAAACTGAACTCCATAGAACCAGAGAGTACACTGGTGGCCAGGGGTGGGGGAAATGGGCAGATGATGGTTGGCGGGGGGGTACCAGGTCTGTTATAAGATGCACACATTCTGTGGGTGCACTGTACAGCCTGGTGACTACAGTTAGCACAGTCCTTATACCTGAAAGCTGCTAAAAGGGGGACCTTGTATTTTCACCACATACACACACACAGTCAACTCTGTGAGCTGATGGATGTGTTAATTACCCTGGTTGTGGGGGATCCTATACAATGTCCTATTGTATGCATGTATCAGGCCACATCGAACATCCTAAATTTTTAAAAAAGGTTAAAAGAAATATTTAATTGTAAATATATCAAAGGGATGTGGATGCCAAGGAATCTAGAGAGGCTAGGTTTCAGGGGAAGAACCACTGCCCAGAGAGCAGAGGCCAGCAAGTGCCCCCCAGAAGCATATCCTTGAGCTGGGTGTCCTGTGGGTAGGGCATTCTCTGCCAAAGAGAAGCCAGCTGGGGCTGACGCCTGTGTGGGCTGGCAAAACGAACCAGAACCTGGAGGTGCTCGAAAAATGGCAGGTTTTCTCCCATGGGATTTTGCTTAGTGCTTGGCTGGTGTTGCAGGGTGGGTGGGGGTGGAAAGGCAGAGTGAAATCTGTGGTCTCTCCATGCTTGGAAATCAGAGTCCTGCTAGAACTCAGGGCTGGCAATAAAAACAAGGCAGCTCAAGACATGAATAAAGTTCAAGACTGGGCGCCTGGGTGGCTCAGTTGGTTAAGCAACTGCCTTCGGCTCAGGTCATGATCCCGGAGTCCTGGGATCGAGTCCCACATCGGGCTCTCAGCTCAGCGGGAAGCCTGCTTCTCCCTCTGACCCTCTCCCCTCTCATGCTGTTTCTCTGTCTCTCTCTCTTTCTCTTATAAATAAATAAGTAAGTAAGTTAGTAAGTAAGTTCAAGACCTGAAAACTAGAGGTGACCCAAAGCTCAAGTGGAAACCCAGTCTGATCAGCCGGCCAAGTCCGTCATCCAGGCCAGCCAATACAGGAAGGAGTGTCCTCTTGCTGGGGGCGGGCAAGTGGGCCTGGCTTCTCAATGTTCAAACACATGTTTGGAATGCAAAAACAAGTCTGAAATGTAAAGGAGGAAAATGTACTCTATAATCAAGAGGAGAAGAAAACAGCCAATAGAAGCAGACCTACAGGGGCCCCAGATGTTGAAACTAGAGGTCAAGGACTATTACGTCACTGCTCTACATCTGTTAAAGAATAAAGACAGTGGGGCAGAGGGACGAAGGAATGGAGGATTTCAATAGAGAAACAAGCTCTACAAACACAAGTGGAAACTTTAGAACTAAAAAATACCTAAAGAATATATTGGCTACGGGGCACCTGGGTGGCTCAGTCGGTTAAGCATCCACCTTCAGCTCAGGTCGTGATCCCAGGGTCCTGGAATCAAGTCCCATGTTGGGCTCTCTGCTCAGTGGGCCTGCTTCTCCCTTTCCCTCTGCCTGCCTCTCTGCCTACTTGTGCTGTCAAATAAATAAAATCTTTTTAAAAAATTATATATTGGATAGCTTAAGAGCACACAAAGCACCACCAAAAAAAAAACAAAAACAAAAAACCACAAAACAAACAGGACTAATAAAATCCAAAGACATGTCAAAATTATCCAAACTGGAAGCACAAAGAAAAAAAAAATAGAAAAACATAAAACAAAACCAAACCCCCAGAGTATCAGAGACCTTTGGGGTCAGATAAGATGGTCCTACACATAGATAACTGGAGTCCTGAGGGCAGGGGAAAGCTCGGAAAAACACACTCGACGAGCTAATAGCAGGAAATCTTCCAAAGCTGATGAAAGACACCAACCCACAGATCTAAGGAGCTCAGCAGATTGCCCTGCAGGATAAATACAAAGAAAACCACACATCATAGCCAAATGACTTACACACACAGTCTTACAAGCAGCCAGACAAAAAGGTACAGGACTTTGAAGTGAACAACGATGACAATTCACCTCACATCACAATCAACCGAATGACATCTTTAAAATGCTCGAGAGCAAAAAACCCAAAACACACCCCACAAAAAACCAAGTCCACCTGCCAACCTAAAACACCCATCCCAACAAAACACCCATTGTTAACGCAGACTAAATATTCTCAGGCAACCAAAACTTGTGAGACTCTGCTGCCCAAAAACCCACACTACAGAAACCACTAAAGGCAGTTCTTCAGGCTGAAAGGAGAGGACACGAGACGGAATCCCTGGCGGGCAAGAAGCCAGGAAGAGCACTTGGAGTCAGCACACAGACATGTGTGTGTATAGAACACACACACACAGAAGTGTATTCACAATTACGTAACAAATGTAACAGGGAACTGTGGGCTTATAACATTCGTCAGAAATAAAAGAAATGGCAAAAATAGCACAGAAGTGGGGTCAGTGGAAACAGGAAATATCTGTGTGCACGCCAACACGCATCCGCACGTCCCTATTTTTGCATTTATCCATCTGCTTCTATATTAGGAGCCACAGTTTGAGCCCACCCCTCTGGCTCTAACCCAACACCCCGGGGCTCAAGCCGGTCTCCTTTCTCGGGCTTGAGCTTACAGCTGGGTTTTCTGTGCTTCTCTCTTTCAGTCTTGGGTGTATGTGCTCACCCGCAGTCACAGCCCACCCGCCCCCCAAGCGAGCCTTCACAGGGCTGCAATGCTGGGCGCGGGCTTTCTGAGGCCCTGCTACAAAGCACGGCCTGGTGGCACGTGGACCCTCGGCTCATGCCCGTTTTACTGAGCTTTTCAAAAGGCTGCTCTGTCAGCCCTTTGCATTGTGTGTCGGTTTGGAAAGTGTCATTGCTAAACCCTCTTGCCCTGGCAAATTATTTTCTTCCCGCCGGCAGGCCCCAAGGACCATCGTCATCTTTGAAACAGAGTCGTTTTACTAGGAGACACCTTGTAGGTGGCTATTCTCTTTGTTTCTTAGGTGCCCATTCAGTGTGGAGGTTTGGGGTTTTCCCTCCATCTGGAGGAAACACTAGCTCCGATTTGCTTCTTCAAAGGCCCTGCTAGCGTGGAGTTCCTCCGTGGCCCCTTGTGCTTCCTCTCTTTTCTTGTTCCGCTTCTGTGCCCTTCCAGGAATCTTTCTTGGAGTCCTGGGCACCCTGCAGAATATTCCCCGTTTCTAAAGTCATCTTCCCCTTCCTACATTTCCTTCCTGAATTCAAGCTGTTTCCGCTTCTGGTTTTTGCCCATTTCTGTCTTTAGTTTTTGAATTTCTGATCCAAGATGATTTTCACAAAAGTCTTCGAATGCTATTGGGAGCCATTCTCGCCGTCTTCTTCAGCTTCGAAATTACCTATCCAGGGAGGCTGGGAGTCCCCTGGTCAAACTCCCTGGTCTGTAGTGTGCAAGGCCAAGGTCTGGTTTTGTTAAGAATTCACTCCCTTTGGGGCGCCTGGGTGGCTCAGTTGGTTAAGCGACTGCCTTTGGCTCAGGTCATGATCCTGGAGTCCCAGGATCAAGTCCCACATCGGGCTCCCTGCTCGGCGGGGAGTCTGCTTCTCCCTCTGACCCTCCCCCCTCTCATGTGCTTTCTCTCTCTCATTCTCGCTCTCTCAAATAAATAAATAAAATCTTAAAAAAAAAAAAAAGAATTCACTCCCTTTGCTTCTGGCCACATCAACCACTCAAAGACCCCTTACAGGGGCACTAGTCCCACCAGGGGGGCTCCCCCCCAACATGACCTCACCTAACCCTCATCACCTCCAAAGACCCTGTCCCTAACACCGTCCCACCCCACTGGGGTTAGGTTGTCAGCGTATGAACGTTGGGGGAACACATGCAGTCCGCAGCATCCACCAGGGAGATCTCTTTTTCTCTGTGCTGCATTCAAGGCAACTGGTGAGGCTGTCCCGGGGCTCCCCACTTTGTCAGGTGCACTGGAGACCCAAGCATCCAGCTGCAGCTGCCCACCCCCCCATTTCTCCTGGAAGAACAAGCCACTTCGTTAGGGTTTCTAATGTGTTTGTGTGAAGCCAGGCCCAAGGGGACCTGTCCCTTACCTGTCCTTCGCTCTCATCTTGACTAGGTTAACAGCAGTGTCTCCAGACCCCAAACACAACCAAGCCCCGCTCCAACACTGACCAGAGTTCTCGGTTCTCTTGTTCTGACCGTCCATGTCTCTTGAGCAAGGGGTCACCCCCTGAGCCTGCCCCTCCCAGGGACGTAAGCATCTCTGCTGCCATTGCTGCTTCAGTCAAGCCTCTTGGAAACACCGGACACCACACTCAGGAGTGCTTTCATTTTCCTTTATTTTTTTAAAAAAGCCCCTAAACTCTATGGCTTCCAGGAAGCATCAGAGAAACCGAAGTGCCATTTCTGTACACCGTGTAAAGCAAGACCTAGACACACACACCGCTGCCAGGCCTTCCCCGGCTGCTCCACCCTGAGGCAGCGTGGGCCCTCCGGGGGGGCCCAGGAGGACCACACTCCCACCAGGGCTGCCCGACCCTGGACGCGCCTGCAGGGCTGGGACAGGGCTTTAAGGCGCTTGTCTCCTGCTGGCCCGCCGGCGGCGTGGAGCACAGACACGAGAAGCCCACGCACACCTGGGCACAGACCGCGGCCCGAGTGCCAAGCAGGAGGCCGCCCCCGGGGCTCCGGGACCCTGGACACAGCTCCACGAGCAGGTGTGGCAGGAAACCCTGTGGGGCTGTGCCCGCCGGCCCAGGCTTTGGTGCAGTGTTTTGGTTTGGGGGGCCTCCCCCACCCCGTCTTCCCCCATGGTGCAGGGAGGCCTAGGGCAGGCTCGCCCCGGCAGCAACGCCCACAGCACCCCCTCGAGAAAACGGCCTTTGGATCGAGGGAGACAAGCTGGACTTTATGAGACTAACGGGACGGGCGGCCGACTACTCACTTCAGCAGGCGGGCGGGAGGGGCGCAGGGCAGGGTGGCCACTGTTTCTCTTCTCCTTGTTCGAAATAGTTAATGCTCTTGGAGGGGAGGACCAGACACGGGCGTAGAAATTTCGCAAAGTCTCATGTGAAGGAAGTGACCCCGCGTGGGGGGCGGGCAGCCGCGGCTGGCCCTGCAGTCTGTCCTGGCTGTGAGCCACGTGGCCGGGGCCAGGCTCGCCGGGGGGGCTGCGGCAGGAGGGTCCAGGGCGCCCGGGCCCAGCATCACTTGTGACGCTGCACTGCTTTTCTCTTCCTTCTCTTGAAAAAACAGCAGCACCTGCACAGGGTGGGCGAGGGAACACGGACATGGGGCCGGTGGTGGGGACGGGGCCCACGGTGTCCCCACGCCCGGCTGCTGCCCGGGGCCTTACTTGGTGTCATCGGCCACCTCCACCTCCGCGGGCGCCGTGATGGGAGCATTGGAGTGCCCGGCAGTGGGGTCGTCCGCGTTCAGCTCCCCGTTGGTGGAGTTCAGCGCCTGGGTTGGGGGAGGCAGCAGGGGGGTCAGGTGGGCCCTGCCCCACCGCCCCCATGGTTGGGGTCCTTGGCCCAGCCCCTCACCTGGTTTTTGCTGTGTAGCTGGGCTTTGTCCCGAGGCTGAGGCTGCGAGGGCAGGTCGGAGTGGACCGTGCCGATGGGCGTCGGCTGCAGGGGGCAGGACGCAGCGCTGAGGCCGGGCAGCCTACTCCCACCCACCATGCACCTGGGGTCCCATGGGCATGGAGCACCAAGGCTCCCGGCCCCACATCCTGGGGCCTCACCCACTGCAAGAACCAGGGCTCTAGCGGTCCGGGGACCCCCACGTACCAGGGGCTTCCCCGCCCAGTCGTACTCATAGTCGAACACGAAGCCGCTGCGGTCGAAGAGGTCGGTAAAGAGCTTGCGCAGGTAGTCGTAGTCCGGCTTCTCGAAGAAGTCCAGGCGCCGCACGTAGCGCAGGTAGGTGGCCATCTCCTCTGTGGAGAGCCAGCAGGGGCACACGAGTCAGTGGGGCCCGGGGGCGGGGGGTCAGTGGGACCCGGGGCCGTAGGGCTGGGGCGCCCCTCACCTGGGAAGCTCTCGCAGAGCACCTCAATGGGCGTGGCCCGCTTGGTGTCCCCGATCTTCTGATAGCGTTCCTTGAGTGTGTCGGCCTGTGGGGAGAGCGGTCAGCCGACACCGACCCACAGGGCCCCCCGCCCACACCCCCGGCCCCGCGCCCACCTTGAGCCCCTGCCAGGGCAGGCTGCCACGCAGGAAGTACATAAACATGTGGCCCAGCGCCTCCAGGTCGTCGCGGCGGCTCTGCTCTGCGGGGGGAGAGCAGGTCAGCGCGGCCCGCGCGCCCCCCCGCCCGGCCCGCGCGCGGCTCACCCTTGCCCAGGTGCGTGTTGATGCTCATGTAGCGCGCTGTGCCCGTCAGGCTCTTGTGCTCCCGGTAGGGGATGTGCTTCTTGGTCTCGGGGTCGATGTACTCCTTGGCCAGGCCGAAGTCGATGATGTGGATGGCATGCTGTCGCTTGGTGCCCGGCCGCCCCACCAGGAAGTTCTCGGGCTTCACGTCGCGGTAGATGAGACTCTTGGTGTGCACGTACTCCATGCGCGTGATCTGTGGTGGGCAGGGGGCTCAGGGCTGTCCCCTCGGCCCGCCCGCCCCTCCCCTGCCCCCCGCCCCTCCCCAGCACCCCCAGCCGTACCAGCTGGATGGCGATCATGAGCACCGTCTTGAGCGTGAACGTGCGGTCACACAGGTCAAACAGGTCCTCCAGGCTAGGCCCCAGCAGCTCCAGCACCATGGCATTGTACTTCCCACACGGGCCGAAGTAGTAGACCTGAGGGATGCCCTCTGCAGGGGCGACACACAGACTCGTGTGGGACCTGGTGGCACCCTCGCGGCCCCCACTGCGCCCCCACTGCGCGGGGCCCAGGTACCTGCGGCGCTGAGCTGCTTGTAGAAACGGTACTCCAGGTGCAGTTGAGGCGCCCGGGACTTGATGGGCTCCTGGGAAGGGCAGGTGGACACGTGGTCAGGGGACCCACCGTGCGTGCACCCCGCCCCCCAGGAGACCCACCGGGCCAGTCTGAGCTCAGGACCCCTGAGGCCCCACTGGGCGGTGGGAGGGAAGGCCTGAACTCACCAGTTTAATAGCTACGTATTCATTTGTATAGAGATTCTTCCCTGTGGGAGAGAGGTGCGTCAGCACGGCAGGGCCCCCGGCACGGGGGAGACCCCACCTGACCCACGCCTCCAGGGCCACCTCCTGTTCCCTAGCAGACCCCCTTGAGCCCGGCCATGGCCCCTGAGTGACAAGAATGCCTACAAAGCCCCCTGCCCCGCCGCAGGTGGCCCCCATCTGCCCCACACCCTCATCCTCCAGCCCCCCTGCAGCCAGCCCTGCCCCCCCCCCAGGCCCGCCCAGTCAAGGAGGCTGCTCCCAACTCCTCCCTAGGGGATCCTTCCCGCCAGTACACCAACTCGTGCCGATTTCTCCCATCTAAAAGAGAGAAAACAGACCCACGATGACCCCGAGGCCCCTCTTCAGCTCCCACAGCGCAGCAGCAGAGGCTGGTGTTCCCCTCCGCCTACGTCATCTGGCCTGCAGCAGCCCTTCCTGGCTCCCCGGGACACCCCCCGCCCCTTCTCTCCGGTAACTCTATACTCCAGCACCTGCTCTGCCTCTACCTAGTACCAGCCCCAGAGCAGTCCACACCCCCTGCCCCTGGCTCATCTCCTCCTGTCTGACCCACCAGCAGACCCCGACCCCGTGGAGCACGGCCCCGTGGCAAGAAGCCGCATGGAGAGGCCTGTCCAGGTCCTGTCTTGCGATGACTCACCCAAGGCGCTCCACACCGGCCATCAGCGTGGGGAGCTCCCTTGTGGTGCAGAAAGGGAACAGGCCTCAGGGCCCTGCCCCTTGCCGGAACCTGTGGCCCACTGAGACACTGCTCAGTGGCACCTGGTGGGCAGAGAGCCCCTGGCTGGCTTCCCAGGGCACCAGAGCTCACCACACCTGGGGCCAGGAATCTGTGTGCCTCACAGGGAAGAGCGAGCCGGGGCAGGGTCTTCCCAGGCCCATCGCTGACCAGCAGGACCTCCAGGAACCCACACAGAAAGAGCCCACACGCCCAACCTCAGAGAACTGAAAACACACGAGTTCCGGAACCTGCCGCAGCCCAGACTTCACCTGCGAGAGCCCCACAGACGGGACTTATGGTGAGACGGCCCCAGCCCCGTGGCTCAGGGCTTCTGAGGGGGGGTCTCCGTGCCGTGTGTGTGGACACGCAGCACCCACGTGGCTTTGCGGTCCGGTGACCTGCTGCGTAACAGAGGGCTGCCCTAGCCCCTCAAGCCCAAGCGCTTGCCCCTGCCCCCCAACCCTCTGGACAGCTGTGTCCCCGTCTCCAGTAGAGATCCTGGCCCACGGCCTCGGCCTGGCCTCACGGGACCCCAAGGGCCATGAATGTGGCTCCACATGGGGCACCTGGTCCTCCAAGATGCCACACGGTCTGCCCCGCTGGCCTCAGGCAGGCTCCACTGTGGGAAGAGGCCTCCAACGCGGCGGCGGCCACCCCGCTGCGTACCACCCCGCAGGCGGAGGCCGGGGCGCCCCGCGCCTGTGAGCCCCTCCCCCCCGTCACCACCCCATCCCGGGCGGGCGCGCTCGCAGCTGTCTGTGTCGCTGCAGCGCGGGCGGGGGCGGGGGCGGGGCGACTGCGGCGCGGCCTCGGCCACCCCGGGGCCTCGGTTCCCAGGGGCGGCGCTCCCCCAGCACGCCGCGTGCCGAGGGGTCCCCGCAGGCCTGCGGAGAAGCGGGGGGGCACAGCTGAACTCCAGCCGCCCGGCCACCACGCGCAAGCGCGTTTCTCGCAGAGGCTTTCGTCCGCGGCGGCAGCGCGTGCACATCCTGCTACGTAGCCACTCATTCCACGGGCACGTGGCGGGGCTGGGCGTGCGGACCCAGGCAGTGTGTCTCCACTTCTCTTTCCCAGCCGTTGCTCGAACAAAACAGTCCTTCCCGACTGCACCTTGAGAGGCTGCCGCGGCGGCTGCGCACCCGCGACCCACGACGGTGCGGTCCGGAGGAGCCCGGCTCGCCTCCCCCGCAGCCTGCGTTCTCCCCGCCCCCGCCTCTCGCCGCGGTCCGGGAGGGGCGGGCAGAGGGGCCCCGCCTTCCCGCAGACCTCCGTTCACTTGCGCAGACAACGGACGCTCAGCAGCAGGGCAGGAAAGCTCTCCTGAAGCCCTGCTGCCTGGGCTTTGATAGAAAACAGGTTTTGCCTCTTGGGTTTTTCCTTCAACATCTCACGATGTACGTTTCAAACATAAAAAAATGGAAAACCCCTGCGGGGAAGACCCACATCCTCACCCCCTACATGACAGCAGCAGAAACAACCTGCTCTTCGTTCCACTGTCTCTGTGCACCTGTCACCCACTCAGCTCCCTTATTTATTCTCTAAAGATTTTATTTATTTAATTGACAGGGAGAGGGAGAGAGAAAGACAGCGAGAGAGGGAACACAAGCAGGGGGAGCGGGAGAGGGAGAAGCAGGCTCCCTGCAGAGCCGCGAGCCCGACGCGGGGCTCGATCCCAGGACCCCGGGGCCACGACCTGAGCCGAAGGCAGACGCCTCGCCGACGGAGCCCCCCAGGTGCCCCTCATCTCCCTTATTTTTAACAAAATCAGAGCATTTCAAAGCAGCAGACATCAGCACCCTCCATATCCTACCAGTGAAGAGCACAGACTAGGTTCAGTAGGACCCGCGGCTGAGGGGGACACTGACCCGTGAAGTGCGCACACGTGAAGCGCCCCATGCGATGAGCACGTCGCCAGCACAGAGTCGGGCCCGGCCCCACCTTCACGGCCCGAGACGCATCCACCGAGGGGCACCGTCCGGCACAGAATCCGGCCCGGGCCCCTCCTTCCCGGCTCTTTCCACACGGCGCTGCGCACCGGAGGTTTGTCCGCGCTGCAGCAGGCCCGCCGCCGGCCCGGGGTCCTTACGCGCTACGCGGAGGTGTTAGGATGCGGACTTCCTACCGGCCCGCGGGCCCGCTCCGCCAAGTGTGCCCCTCGTGCTGCAAACATGGAGTGGGACTCACGTGGCTGCCCTCCCTCGTGGCCGATGAGGCGGTGTGCCTTCTGAGCTCCCTGGCGATTCATCGGTCTGCTTTTGTGAAGTCTCTCTTCACATCTCTTGCCTGTTTTTACTGTTTTTTTAAAGTCATCTCTACAGCTGACGTGGGGCTCAAACTCTCAGCCCCGAGATCAAGAGTCACACGGTCCTCCGATGGAGCCGGCCGCCCGCCCCTCTCGTGCCCGTTTTTAATTGGAGTGTCTTTTTATTACTGAGCTGTCCTTCCACGGGCGCAAACACCAGGGCTTTGTCACATGGTGCTCTCTGAGCACTGCCCATCTGTGGCTTGCCTGTCCACGCTCCTAACAAGGTTTTCTCATAAATACATGGGTGGTTTTTTATAAGGTTTATTTATTTCATAGAGAGAAAGAGAGCGCGCGCGCGTGCGTGTGAGTGGGGGAAGGGGCCGGAGAGAATCTCCAGCAGACTCCCCGCGGAGCATAGAGCCCCACGTGGGGCTCGATCCCACGACCCATGAGGTCACGACCTGAGCCGAAACCAAGAGTCGGACACTCAACCAACTGAGCCACCCAGGCGCCCCTCATAAAAGATGTTTTAAACTCTGATGATTCTAACTGATCCTTTACGGTAACTGATAACTTTATTGTGTCTTGTTGAAGAAACTCTGACGTTCTGACTGCCCGTGGGAGTTGTGGGAGAGCCGGAGTCCTTGAAGGCCAGCGTGAGTTGAGGAAGAGCCGAAGTCCTTGAAGGCAAGCGTGGGTTGAGGGAGAGCCGAAGTCCCTGAAAGCCAGCGTGAGCTGAAGGGAGCCCGTGTACTCATGCCCACATGTGTCTGAAGCCGGGTGCGCAGACAGCTGGAGGAGTTCAGGTGCTTGGGGCTCCGAGGGCCTCACCAACGTCAGCAGTCTCACCTCCCGAGGGGCTATGAGCAGAAGGAAGATCCTGGGGGCCACACAAGGCTGGAGCTGCAGCCATCCAGACTCGGAGGCCTTCCTGAACTCCCCCGACCCTTGGCTGAGAACCCAGGATGCCCTTGCGTGAGACAGACGTGACTCCAGCTCTTGAGTCAGGTCAGCTCTCAGCTGCCCACCAGACCCCGACGACGTCAAGATGAGCCTCCAAGACAAAGCGTAAAGCAGACATTCCACACGTGGCACCCACAATTTCCAACAGATAATAAGACAGTACTAGACGTGTGCAAAAGGAGGCAAACGAGACAGTAGCAAGAAAAAACAAAGTCAAAGGTGCCAAAGATTTAGCATTTTTTTTTAAAGATTTTATTTATTTATTTATTTTTAAAAAGATTTTATTTATTTATTTATTTGAGAGAGAGGATGAGAGGAGAGAGAGAGCACATGAGAGGGGGGAGGGTCAGAGGGAGAAGCAGACTCCCTGCTGAGCAGGGAGCCTATTTATTTATTTGACAGAGAGAGATAGCGAGAGCAGTAACACAAGCAGGAAGAATGGGAGAGGGAGAAGCAGGCTTCTTGCCGAGCAGGGAGCCCGACGCGGGGCTCGATCCCAGGACCGTAGGGTCATGACCCGAGCCGAAGGCAGACGCTTAACGACTGAGCCACCCAGGCGCCCAAGATTTAGCATTTTAAACAGTCACAAGGACGTGTGAGGATTTAAAGGGCAAGATGGGGAAAATAAATAAACCTCAAGGGAGAAACGGGAATCCAGTGAAGTGAGAAATACCGTGTATGAAATGAAAAATTCACCTGAATGGCTCCAACAACAGACCAGACAAAGCAGAGAAAAAGAAGGGCGAACTTATAAAAGAGTAAAAACTAACCAGACTGAAGCAAAGAAGGAAAAAAAGGCTAAAAGAAAACTCAAAAGAAGCTGGAGGGACCTGCAGAAAAGCATCAAACGCTTGACGTATGTGTCATCGGAGCCTGAGGATGCAAAAGATACGAAGACGAAGGCAGGGAAAGATTTGAAGAAACAATGACTAAAGTTCTTCCAATTTAATGAAAAAGTATTACACAGATCTATGAAGCTTAATCAATCCCAAGCAGGATAAACACAAAGAAATCCCCCTTAAACAATGAGGAATCAAAACCTGAAACCAAAGATAAAAGGAAAACCTTCAAATCGCCAGGAAAAAAGACACACGATGCACAGGAGAACATGAATCATCGGGAAATGCAAATGAAAACCCCTTGACACCCCCGAGCATGCTCAAAACAGAAAAATCTGACGACCCCAAATGCTGATGGGGACGTGGGACACGCAGGACCCTCGGATGCTGCCCACAGGAGTTTAGAAAGGTTACCATCACTGTGGAGATCAGTCTGGCAAGACCTGCAGAGGGATGCTCAGGACAGTTTTATTCACAACGGTAAAAATGTCCCTGAGCAGGAGAACAGATGAAGAAAACGGGGCGCAGACATACAGATGGACGACCAGCTACCTACACACGCAACACCGGGGACACTCAAAATCATGCTGAGCAAAAGCCAGGCAGAAAACACCACATACCTCAATTTTAAAACTGTTTTAAACCCAAGGCTGCTGCACCCCACGGCCCCACCGCACACTCTCATTTGTCTATGCAGGGCCGTACCATGAAGGCTGCTGATCCTGACACCCCAAGGACAGGCCCCCGTAGCCCCCAGGCTGCAGGTCAGGCCTTGGCCTGTGTGCGCGCCCTGGTTTGTGTGCGCATGTGTGTGCAAACACGCACATCCTAACCGGGCAGCGGGAGGGGGTGAAGGCGGCTCCGTCTGGGGTCAGCTGCGGAACCAGCGACTAGGCGGCCGGGGCCGTGCCAGGACGGCTGGACACGGCCGCACTGCGCTCTCGCCCGCGAGTCTGGCAGTGTTGCAGACAGACAGCCGGACACATCCGCTGTTCGAGCCCAGCACCCGCCCTGCGTGCCCGCTCAACCAGCACACGGAGACCGGACCCCCAGCCCTTGACAGCCGGCTGGCTCAGAAGGCCCAAGCCCAGTCCTGCAGCCTCCGGAGCGGCCGTGGTGTGGCTCTGGCTCAGGACGGCATCTCAACCCAGGCTCTCAGGGCCGCTGGTTGGGGCCCAAGCAGTGACACCCGCCACTGGGCAGGGCTCACAGGCTTTGCCTGCGGTTCCTGACAGCTAAGTGCTCAGCAGGAGCTAAGCTCGCATTTCACCTTGCAAATGCACCTGGGCGCACCAGCTAGAAACTTCCACGTGGGTCCCCCCTGTATGGGGGGGGCACACAGATCCCCCACAAAACTGTCCCTCAAAAACACAGGGTGAGGCTAGGGGTCCACCCCTCTGGCAAAGCCTCCCCCTTGGGGAGCAGAATCTCACACTTACCTGAACTCCCAGTCCCAACCATCTGGAAGTCATCTGGGAGTGGTGGCCACAGCCCCATCGGGCGGCCTCCCCCTCCCCGTGCCCCGGAATATAAGCAAGGGGCTCACCTAGCCGGAGCTCCCCGAAGTTGCCACAGCCTATCTTCTTCCCGACCCGGAAGTTGGGTCCCACCATCAGGACCCCTGAGCTGGTCCCCGAGCTCCGGACGCCATGGCTGGTCCGGCCGCCGGCCTTGGACATTCTCCGACCCTCCTCCGACTCCCCTTTCCCTCCTTTCTTGTCAAAATCCATAAGTTTGTGGTACCCTGGCCTCTCCACGGTGACTCAGCTGCCGTGCAAATCCCGGGTCTGTGCAGACCTGAGGCTGCGGCCGGCTCTTCGGGGCTAGTACACCATGGTGGCCCGGTGGCTCCCGGCTAGTGAGACGTCGGCGCTTGCCAGGGCCCGGTGGTGGTGCTCATCTCGGTGGCCTCGGGGTCACATGCGGGGGGACGACACATTCTGTTGACAGGTCCCGCCGCCTCAAATCTCGTGGTTCCCGGCTGGCAAAGAAACAGAGACACGGGTCAGGAGGCCACGCGTGTCCACGACGCAGCCCTAGCCTGGCAGGGGGACCCGAGGGCAGCACCATGAGAGGCTCGGGCCGCCAAGCGCACGCTGAAAGATCTACGAAGGTGTGAGCGCGAGCCACGCCTTCCTGGGGCCCGGACAGAGGGGTGCAGTGACCCCAGCCCCCTGTGAGTGCCATATGTCAAGCTGGTGTGAGACGTGCTGCCAAGTGACCCGCACCCCGTGACTCAGGGACAGTCCCACTGGCAGAAGTCGGGGCTGGTCATGTGACCGAGGCCCTAGAACCCCGAGGCCAGCTGCGGAGCCCCTGGTCTGGGTGCAGAGAGGGCTGGGAGCCGCCTCACCCACAGCCCCTTCCCCAGGCCGAGGGGCTGCTGCTCAGCACAGGGAAGACGACACGGCAGAGCAGAAAGTGCCCGGGGCTGGGAGACAGGCCCTCGCCACTGACCTCCAAGGCCTCTGGCCTGCCCCACCGGCCCCCACTGCACCTCACCCTGTGCAGTCAGGTGATGCCAAGGTCCCCGGGCCTAATTCCAGGACCTGTGACCTATGGTCAGGTGGGGCTTGCCGTGACCCTGGCAAGGCTTCACTTGGTCAGCAGCTGCCGAGGGAAGTCAGGTGGGCTCCCAGGCTGAGAGAGCCAGCAAGCTGGGCACAGGCTGTGCGTGCCCCCGGGGTGGGACCAGCCTTGGCCCCTCAGGGACGGAGCAGGGGCCGTGGAGAGCTTGTAGAAGGAAGGGCAGGCACTGCGCAGCCCCCAGGACGCAGGGAGGGAGGGCCAGCCACCCAAGGGGCAGGTACCCACAGAAACAACCCCGGGCCGGCCCTTGGCCCTGGCCAGCTGCCTCCAGCCCACCCTGCGTCCCCAGGCCCACCCCCATCCCCACAGGTTCTGGGCGCCGGCCGGCCAGCCAGCCAGACCAGGCCTCTCAGCCACACGTCCTCCTCCAACCCCCACCAACCGCTCACACCAAAGCCAAAGGATCTCCTCAAAAAGAAGCCACCAACATGCTCCTGTAAGCGCCCCCGACCAAACACGTCCTCCTCTAAAATCTGAGCGTGGGGCGCCTGGGTGGCTCAGTCGCTTGACGGATGACTCTGGATTTCAGCTCAGGTCGTGATCTCAGGGCTGCGGGATCGAGCCCCACGTCGGTCTCCGTGCTGGAGCCTGCTTGAGATTCTCTCTCTCCCTCTGCCCCTCCCCTCCCTCCTCCCCTTCTTAAAATTAATTAGATTAGGTCTGAGTGTGCGCCAGGGTCTGGGGGAAGGGGCTCTGCTTGTGCACACAGCCATCAGGCCCAGAGCAGCCACGACCCGGCTCACGCGCGTCCCTGCTCACCGTGGATCGGGGAAGGCAGGCTCCTTCACGCCAAGACGAGGCACGGAGTCTGAGGCGCCTGAGCGGGGCTGGCTGCACGTGGGAGCACGCTGAGGTTGGACTGCTCCCCCACCAGCCCTGCGGCCGATGTGCCAGGGAGGCAGGGATGGTGTCTCCTCCCCATGGGGGCCCCCAGGATGCCCCTCCACTGACCAGGCCAGGACCAGGAGTCCTGGGAACAGCTGGCCCAGAGCAGGCGGGGGCCCTGCGGAGGGGATCCCCAGTCCATGTGCTCAGGGAGAGGCGATGGCCCGGGGTGCGGTGCTCACCCCCCCCCCCCCCGTGCTCTCACACCCGTGTGCACGCCCACACCATGCACAAAGGGGTGCTGCTCTGGAAGCCTGGGCGGGGCCTGGCTCAGTACCCTGCTCCGCCACAGAAGAGCCTCAGGCTTGGGGTCAGGAAGGAGCAAGGCCCCGCCTGCTTTGGGGACCATCGCTCTGGCGGGCACTAGGGGTAGAGTGAGTGAGTGAGGTGTGCTGGACCCGTCCGTCAGGAATGGGGGCCGCACACGAAGAAGGGGGTTTGCAGGGATTCCCAACGTCCCCGCTCCATCAGCTGTACCCCACACACCCCTGGGCAGGGCCTAGAATATGCAAGGGGGATGGGGTCTTGGGGACAGGGGCTGGGCTGCCCCGGGAGGGCCATGTCCATCTGAGATCGACGGAGCCGGCTCCCTTCCCGTGGCGCACACCTGGAAATACCCCAAGAGCCCCTCTGAGCACACCTGGGCTCCACCTGAAGGTGAATCTACACAGACCATGATCTCAAGTTTACTATTAAAGACAAAGCCGTCCACAGGCCCCAGCCTTCCTCCTGGGCTTGAGCCAGACCCTGCTCCCCGGACACACCGTGGGGGCGTCGGAACCATACAAGAAAAGCCAGAGAGCACTTCTCTCCTCGCGAGGGTGGGGATGGCATCTTTTGTTTCTAGGTCCCCGCTTCATCGTTAGTCCTATTACGGAGATACGATTCACATACCATACGTTTCACCCTCTAAAAGTGTACAATTCAATGGCCTTTAATAGTTATCCAACCATTACCATGATCTAATTGCAGAACATCCCATCGCCCCAAAAGGCACCCCACCCCATCAGCCGTCACCCCTCCCCAGCCCCCACCCCCATGAGCCCCCTTCCCGTCCACGGATGAGCCCGTTCTGTGCGTGTCACCCACATGGACTCACACCCCACGTGGCCTTCCGTGTCCGGGTCCCTCCCTGAGCGTCCCCGCCCCCATCAACGGTCACTCCCCACCTTCTCCCCAGCCCCCGCCCCCCCTTCCCGTCCGCGGATGAGCCCGTTCTGTGCGTGTCACCCACGTGACTCACACCCCGCGTGGCCTTCCGTGTCCGGGTCCCTCCCTGAGCGTCCCCGTCCCCCTCAGCTGTCACTCCCCAGCCCCGGCCCCAGGAGCGCCCTTCCCGTCCGTGGATGAGCCTGCTCTGGACATGTCACCCACGTGGACTCGCACCCTGTGTGGCCTTCCGTGTCCGGGTCCCTCCCTGAGCGTCGTGGGCTCAGGGTCCGTCCCTGGGGCCGCGCGTGTGGGCCGAGGGACGTGCTGTGCGTGGGGGACCGTGCGTGTCCATCTTTGGGCACTGAGAAGCGAGCGTCGGTGCACGTGTGCTTCCGTTCCTCCGGGTGCGCAGCTGGCCGTGCACGTGCTGGCTCGGATGGAAATTCTACCGCAGCCGTCTGAGGAGCTGCTGGGCTGCTCTCCGAGTGGCCACACTGTTTTCTGGAAGCCCACACACCGCGTACGAGGGTGCAAGCGCTCCCTGGGCTCCAGCCCGTGCTGCCGTCCCCGCGACGGTGCTTCTGGTCTGCATTTCCCCGAACGCCTGCTTTCTTTCTAGACACAAGTCTCCTCCCCCGACCGAGACAAAGGAAGCCAGACTCATTTCCTCGAGAGTGACGGTGGCTGAAGCAGGAGTCATGAGAAAGGAACGGAGGAGGGGACAGCGGGCAGCTGCCTTTGGAAGAGTCCCCACTGCCTGCAGGAACGTTCCCGTACCAGGAACGGAGCCCACGCGCAAGGCAGGCGCCCGGACGCACAGCCTGGTCTGGACCCGCCCAGAGGGCCGGATGGAGCAGAAATGAGCAGGACGCCAGCGCTCCGAGGTGGTCGTCAGCCAGGGCAGGATTTTTGCAAAAAACACCTGGTTCCTTACTTGGTAAAAACTTAAGGGCATAACACTAAAGACACACACAGCCTCTTAGCGACCGGGCAGACTCGGCACACACAGCAACCCACATGCCCTTTGCACACCCGTCGCATGCTCCCTGCTCCTCTGAAGGTCTCCTGGATTCCACACCAAGGGGGCACCGGAACCTACCTACGGTCCCGTTAACAGACACTTAGATTCTTTCCAGTCGGAAAGTAATCAAGAACACGAGCTTCGGCACACCCATGCACACACGCATGGACACTCGAAACACAAAGGCCCAGAGTCCTTCAGATGTGAAATCCACAGGAATTTCAAAGATCACGAGCAGACACTCTGTGTGGCACAGAACATTCTCGCATCTCGTGACCTCCACTATCCTGACGGAGGGTGAACTCAAGGGGCGAAGGGGCCCCCCACCAAAGGCAGTGCGGCGGAAGCCAGCGACAGGACATGCTCAGAGCCTTCGGCTCAGAGGACGCGCCCCCAGCGGGGAGGGCTGGGACGTCTCCACGCAGACCAGGCCAGGACGACCCGTAAAGGCAGAGATCTGGTCTTTGTCCCAGGGTGTGGCACAGAGCTCCTCGAACCCGGGGCACTTCCCAAGGGACAAGAGCGGCTCTGCTCTGCACCAGAGAGCACGCTGGGTCCAGTCCCCAGGAAGACAAAGCCGGGAGCGGAGCTGGGGAGGCCGGGGTACAGAACACCAGGACACAAGGGAGAGGGCTCCACTCCCTGCTGAACCACCGGTACCGCTCTGCCCCCAGGCCTACGGGAGGAGCCCCTCTGGGGTCCTCACGCCTCAGGACCTCAGCCCCCATCCCTCCTGGAAGGCCCCTCCTCGGCCATCAGCACAGGGCCGTCCCTAGCAGCCCCCACCCCGGATGGGCATCTCCACCTGGCCTCGTGACCCGGGGTGCAAACCCCTCCTGGGCCTGCAGAGCTACCCTCGAGGACCAGAAAGCCAGGGAGACTGCCGTGTCTGGGGGTGGTTCTTAGGGTCCCCTCTGAGAGACCCATATTCTCCCCCCAGGTAGCTCCCTGTGATGGCGGGGTCCGGGGTCTGACAGCACTCTCCTCCCTGGACACCTTGTTGCTGCTGCCTTCGAGAATCCTAACCATGGTGGCAGC